GGGAGAGGAGCCAGTCAGAAGTTTACCTGAGTCTCTGCAGGTGCAGGAAAGAGAGAGGCCAGACACATGGGAGAAGGTGGAGAGGAAGGGAACAGGGAAGGTTCCAAATCCTGCAACAGTTAAATGTTAACGTAGGTGTCGGCATAGGAAGTGTCTTCTAATGACAGAAGGAAACGAGGGAGTTTGTCAATCATCTCCTGCTTAACAGATACAGATGTATTCATAATTATCCCTTGCCTCGGGCCTCGAGGCCCAGGTGGGCTCCAGAAGGCCTGTGTTCCTGCCAGATAAGAGTCCTTAAGGAACATCATGTAGACAATTGGAATGCCATTTATCGCGCAAAACACAATAAAACCCTGAGCTCTCTTCCTGTCTCAGAGACCCATAAATTATGAAAATTATACCTGCCCTAGGCCATGGACATATTGTTTTATTAAAGTTCTGATGAATAAACTTCAGGCTCTTAAAAATGTCCTCTCGGCTTTCATTTAGCACACACCCCAGCATGGAGCGGTCTGCCTGGGTTCATCGGATTACCTCACAGAGGTACTTTGGGAAGTGGAGTTCATTTGAAGGTGCGGGTACAGCAGGCTGGAAGGGCCAGCTGGGGAGCTGCAGGGGCAGCTTAAGGCTTCCTGGCCAGACTAGAGTTGCCAGCAGGTGGGGGTCTTGTTTTCTTGCTCCCAAAGCGGGATACCAACCCTCCCCCTCCTTGGTGGAATGAGCACCAGGCTCCTGCTGCCCTTTTAGTTAGGAGTATGCGGTTATGGGCATAGAGAGGGTAGAAATTCTGCTTCTTCCCCCTTATTTTAAAATTCATTCACTAGGCTCCATCTAGCCTATCCTCTTTTTCTGACCCAAATTGAGCTGCTAACCCCTAAACTCCCCGTTTTCCCCATCCACCCCTAAACAGATGTTGGGCATGCGACCACATCTCGAACCTCAGTCTGTTCTGTACCTCTCAGAGGGAACAGACGACAGTGTCTGCCACGTATTGTTCAATTCCTGGCAAAAAGAAACGGTTCAACAAATGCTAACCCAGAGCCATTTCATAAGCAGTCTCAGGAAGGAAGAGACAGGGGAAGAAAGTGTGGAACTGTTTCTCGGGACAGGAGTTTTTAAAATACATGCGCCTGTTCATTCAAACAGCATTTGGAATGGGGAAATTCTAAGCACAAACAATCTGTGTCGATTTTAATTTTTAATCTCCAAACACTGGAAACAAGATAAAACCAGGGGCAGGCCAAGCATCAGGAAATCCAAGACTGCATCAAAGCCTGGCATACAGCAGTCGGGACTGAGGTGATTAAAAAGAGAAGCATCTGCAGTGGGACACTTACCTTGTCAGCACAGTAAGACTTCGGAGCCCAAATTACTCTTTGTCCATCATTTGGGAATGGGACAGGCCACATGGTCTAGCCAGGGAGATGGGAGCTTATCTTTATGAAAGTTCTAGAGCAGACAGGACCACAGTGAGTACAACATCCTCTGTGCTCTCTTAGGGGTCCTTGGAATGGGCTTGGATATCTCAGAGAGGACCCTGGGGCTTGAACAAAGAATTAGAAGATGCCAGCTTCTGATGACCTCAGAGAAAACAAGACCTGGACCCAGGACTCCTCATCTTCTCCCCCTCCATCCCCCTTGACTTTATGTGCTTCACACCAACAGAAAAAAGAAACAGTAATCACTCAATTCCCTTGTCTTTCAGCAAACAAGAGACATGTGTTTGCATGTTCAAAATAAAAAAGCTCCCCCAGATACAGAAACTGAGAAGTGGCCAGGTCTCTACCAAGTCTGGAGGGTGGGTGGGGCAGAGGAAACAGATGGCAGGTACATTAGAAGGGCAAAGCTAAGGCATTCAATGGATGGGAGCCTTCAGAAGTCAAAGGAACACTTTTATACAATAGCCACCAATCTGGTGGTAATATGGAAACCACCAAGGGCTTTCCAAAAGGAAAGAACTGCAGAATTTTTGTGTACTGGGCAGGTCAGATGACCCTTTCCTACTTCCACTGCCTCCCTATTTGAGTTTTGTCATCTGTGGGTTCCAAATACACTCCCGTACAGGGGAGGAAGATTTAGCAGCACCTGGCAGAATATAGCCTCACAAGGAAGTGAACAAGGGATGTTCTGGCACAGGAGCCCCCTCCCTCTGCCCTGTCATCCCGCCAGAGCTGGGGTACACACTTCCATTTGGTGTGTGTTTTTGACAAACTCAGGGTCTTCCTGGATGAGGAAGTTGGGGGTGTGAACACACAAACACACGACAAACGGCAGTCCTGTGTATATTTAACAATATATATTTATATATATTTTCTAGATCAGTACATTCAGTTTTTAACTTGTTTTTTCTTCACAAACAGAAGAACTCTTACAATAGTAGACTTTCTAAAATAAATACTATTAAAATAGAGCTTCAAAATAAATATTCTATACAAAGGAAACCTTCTGTGGTAACTTTTGTTGTGGGGTGAGAAGGGGCTACAGTGAAGAGGGAAAATGAAGTAAGAATGTGGTGGGGCGGGAACCTTGAACAGCTTTTCTGTTTGTAACACGAAACCAAACCGTGGGGCAGTGAGAAGAGAAAGCAAGGTAGACACCACAGGGGAGTTACCCACAGCGAAAAATGGCAGCGCAAGGTTTGTCATCAACTGTCACAGTAAGCAGAGGGCATGAAAATGCTTACCGAAGGCATGAACCAGAAGGCCGGTGAAGCTTGTGAGATGCCCTAGTGAAGTGTACAGTGCGGAGCTGTGTGGCCCACACTCCATCAGACATCTCCTGGAGCAGCCGGGGGAGAACATGGAGCTTCGAGGGGACGGAATCTGGGTGTTTGGTTCCATCCAATACTTGCCATGTCGCGCAACCTTGGGCAAGTCATTATCTAACTGGGCCACACTCGAGGTGCATTGGGGACCCACGCAGACTCCACAGCGCTGAAAGGACTAGACATGTCACACGAAGATCTTCTGTTTCTGTTGTTGAAGGGGCCTGTGCCAACAGCAGGGATTGATTGGTCTTCACCTCCTTCCAGCTGAGGGCTGTGCGAAGCAGCCGTAGTTGCACCCCCCTGTCCATCTGGAAGGGTTTTGCTGTTGTAGAGCCAGTTCCCCAGGGTACTTCGAGTGCTGGACCTTCACAGACCCACCCTCAGGGCAGGGGCAGCCAAGGCCCACTAGGACCTGTGTCTTAGACCCATGCTTGTGGACTGTACCCCCCGTTGCAGGCAGAACCACCACCCAACCCAAGCTGAACAGAAGTGGGAACCAGCTGGGTCTTCTCAAAAAAGGTCCAAGACGAGGCACAATCCAGCCAAGCAAGCCGTTGGTGCCGGAAACAATCAGCTGGAAGCAGCACCCACCGAAACGTGTTCCTCGGTGGACCTCGACTGGCCCCTGGGCAAGCCAGTTTTGTTTTTTTGCCAAGAAGCTGTGAAAAACATGCTGAGAGCTTGCCCTGCATCAGAACAGGGAGAACCAAAGCTGCTTCCTTTACCACTGAGCACAGGGGACCCTGGGAGCTCGGCACACATCTATCTAGCAGGTGAAATGCAAACCAAAAGAACAAGCCAAAATAGGGAAGCAAATAAAGAAAAAAGAAATCTAAAACCAGAAAAATCTGTGTTTACAACTATGTACACAAAGTCAGGGTTCATCAGGGGTTAGGAGGCTGTTTGCCAGGAAACAGGATCTGTGTAGATAAAGGGTCGATGGGGTAGGTGTGTAGTTTGTGTGTGTGTGTGTGTGTGTGTGTGTGTGTATACACAGCTTATGTAAATCAATTCTCAACAGAAAGGGTGTGTAGAACACCAAGATCACCAAAGTGCAACTTGCCCCTGGGTCAAGTTCCCCATGGAGATATTTGAGAGAGGGACCCTGGGAAAAGTTCTGAGGCCTCACCAAGAATGGACGCATGCCCTTCTGTCGTGGGGGTAACCTCTGCACACCTATTCTGAGGAAAACATCTCCAGTCCCTTCGGTACACATCTGATACATTCACTTAGTGGAAGTGGTTGGCTGAATGTGTTTTTCCTACCATTCCCTCCTATTTGTGCAAGAACATCCATACATCCATCGCGACTGTGGCAAGGGCAGCTACATGAATCAGCCTTAGAAAACACAGATGCAATATTTCATACTTTTTACAAGCTAGCAAATGTTATATAAATAAAGCCTAAAGTAAGACCCTCCCCTCCTTTCCTCCAATCAATAAATATCTACAGTTACGATTAACTTATTCTAAATCATAAGATGTTACTACTAGTTTTCAAGAAAGAAAAAAAAAGTCCTTGAGAAGCAGTGGTGCTTGCCAATCACAGCTACCTGCCTCCTCGCCTCCATCCGGGAGGCGGTTCTGTTCCTACAGAACAGACTGGAAATGCCGCACACGCTCTGCCTAACGCACTTCCAGTTTCACCTGGGGTAGCTTTTCGGACCCAGGCCACTTCCTCTCATGGGGCTGGGAGGACACACAAAATATCACAAGAGGCAAGAAACCCTCACACAACAGCTAGGGAGGAAGGACCAGACACAATATAGCTTTTGCATGCAACAAGTACCTACCCACTGGACGTGCTGCGCTGAGTCCTTTAGCACCTTGAGAGAGAGTGAGTTGCTACGTCTTTGGGGGCTCTTGGGAGGGGGTGGTGTGGCCATGCACAGAAGCAGGGCTCAATCCCCCAAGAAGCCCCTGGAAAATCCACCCCCCCTGTCTTCTTACTCCCCCACCAGGGCTTCCTAACACTAAAATAGACTCTTTTCTCATCATCTGTCTATTTACATTAAAGATACAGACACATCACTGTACACAAAAGGCTACGACAGCAAGCAGCAGAGTCAGAAGAGAAGGAACCCACGCCCAGCTCGGTTCTACCGCCGCTCTGCCAACGGGAGGTGCTGCCTCTCTTCTTTGCTGTGAAAATCCTCTTCTTGGTGGGAAGGGGTACTGTGTTCCTTGAGGTTGCTCGCCCCCCAGATTTTGAAATCAGCCCTTCCTGGGGGTGGCCCAAAAGGAAGCAAAGTGTTTTATTATTATTTTTCTTTAAAACACCGTTATAGCATCTGGTTTCATTGTTCTATAAAAACATAATGACTGGATCCAGAGGCCACAGCCTCAGACTCATTGGCAAAATGATATTTGGTCTCGCATGTGCCGCCCCGGCCTTCTCTACCCGCGGAATTTCTGGAAAGGATCTGGGTAGAGAGAACACGGGACACGTAGTGGCAGGGGAGTCTGTGACTCGGTGGGAACTGAAGGACGGTGTTCTGAGCGGAACACCCCCAAGAGTCAGTGATGAAGCAGGAGGGAGGAATGCACTGGGCAGTGGCTCCTACGTCCATCTGCGGCTCCGGGGAGGCAGAGCGAGAGATGAGGCCTGGACTCCCTGGCTCTGAGGGGGCTCCCCAAGCATATACAACTGGGGTCGCCAGGGTCTTCTCCGCCTTCCCCAAGGTGCTGGGGCAAACTGGGGTGGAGGGTGGAGGAGGAGAAGTTTGAAAGTCAGGGTTCCAAGGGTCTTCTTCCGAGGTCCCCTGGTCACTCAATAAATGATTCCTCCCCCGGCAACCAAAGAGAAGGGAAGAGCAGGGAGAGAGGGGGAAGGAGGAGGACCTGGGAAGGCATTTAAGCAGCTGCAACTTCCGGATGTGTCCACATCTGTGTTCCGTCTTCTGAAAAAGAACCACCCCCCCAACCGCCCCGCAGCCACACCACGCCCCTGCCACTGTCTGACACAAAGTTCCAGGACCCTGAAAAAAAACAAGAAAACAAAACCCAAAGTGCTCCTTCATCCTTTTGGGGAAGAGAGGGTGGGCGATGGTGGTCTCCCATTTCTTCAGAAGCGGAGGATGGGGAGTGGGCAGACCAGCAAGATAGGCCTCAGGACACTAAAACCTCTGGCCTTGCCATGGTCGTCTCAGGTGTCAGAAGGGAACCAAGTTCTAGGGGTAGCAGCACGGGGGCTTCGACCCACAGTGTCAGAAGGACTTGTCGAGTCTGCTGGCCTTGGCGTCCCCGGCGGCCGCCTTGCAGATGACGCTGTTCGTGTGCTTGCAGCGGCATCCAGGGCGGCGCAGGCGGTCGTAGCCACGCTGGGCCAGCTTCACGCAGCCGGTGGCGGGCAGGTAGCAGAGCAGGCACGGCAGCACCAGGGACAGGGCGCCCATGAAGGACCAGCGGGCGCAGCAGTTTGAGCGGGAGCAGGAGCAGGGGTGGTCGGCGCAGGAGCCCTCGTCGTCCTCGTTGGTGCAGTGGTAGAAGACGCCTTGCACCAGGCACATGCAGGTGCCGTAGTTGACCAGGGTCTGGGCCGAGCACAGGCACTCCTGGTTGCAGACCCAGCAGGAGGGCAGTGTCCGGGGTGAAGCACACTCCTTGCACTTACACTTCCCACAGGCCTCGCACAGCAAGAAGTGTTTGTCCAGCTCCGTTGGCATTGCGGGGCCCTTAAGGTCCAGTGGCTTGCAGTGGACGGCCTTGGGCTGGATGCGCACAGCCCTCGGGGAGGCCTGGTCGGCCACGGGTGGCGGTGCCATGTGGTCCAAGAGACGCTGGTCAGAGGACGTGCTGCTGCTGCTGCTCACGGAGCTGGGGCGCCCGCTGAAGGAGATCCAGTGGTGGGTGACGTCCTGGTCACAGCGGGCAGGCGTTGGGGCCAGCTCAGGGGCCCCACCCCGGGTCCGCTTGGTGCCCATGGGGGGCACCAGGCCGGGGTTGTCTATGTAGTCGTTCTCTACGTGGCTGGTCTTCATCTGGTCGATGGGGAGGATGGTGAGTGGGTGTTGGAGGCGGCCGTGGGGCATACGGCTGTCAAGTAGGGGCTGGACCATGACTGAGCTGGGAGTCAAGGGGACGCTCTGTGGGATCGGGGGCTCCATGGGGCTGGAGGTCCTGGACTGTGCTGAGGAACAGGCTTCTAGGGGCCCTGGGTGGAAGGTGGGGAAAAGGAAGAGAGAGTGGATTCCAGGCATCAGTACTTGGCCTGTTAACACCCCCACCCCCCCCATCAGGTCCTTGGGAGTCCAAATGAAACGGGAATGGACTCCCTCAGTGGATTCTCGAGCATCCAGGCTTGGATGATTAATAATAACAATTAATAGTAAGTGGTAAAAATAACACTTAGTCATCACTTAATGGGAGCCAGGCACTCTCCAAAGCACCATGTATATTAGGTCACTGACTCTTCACAGTCCTGGACTCTTCACCCTAAAATGGGACCACTATTATTATATATCCCTTTTCCAGGCACAGAAAACTAATGTTCAAAGTAACCTGTCCAAAGGCGCACAAAACTATCAACAGAACTCAGCAGGAGTTCAAACCTAGCCCATCCGCATTCTTGGAACTGCTGTGAAATAGGCTCTGTTTTTTAGACAGTTCAGTGGTTATAAACACAGGCTCTGCAGTCAGATCCAAGTTTGAATTCTCACGCCTGCCTAGCAGTGATGCTAGAAATAAGGTTCTGTAATCTCTATGCCCTTAATTGTGTCACCTGTGAAATGGGTTCTTGTGAGGAGTAAATAAGAAAATGCCTATCCAGCGCCTGGCATCTTGCCTGGCAGTAATCTCTCGCCACCCAGAGAGCAACAGTGCAGATTTCCTGAACACCAAAAGGACTGTGTGCCAAGAACTGTGCTGAAGATGTAATGACCAAGACAGCCCCTGTGTGCTCCCATGGAGTGTATCAGCTGGATAAACAAAAGCCTTTATTCCACATAGTCAAAGGAAGGGCTGTATGCGATGCCTGCACATCCAAGATATTAGCTTATTACCAGCACTTCGAAGAGCAGCAACCTCCAGTGGCTAATAACCCCCGGCTAGGTGCACTTCTGACAACTTGGATGGGAAATCCTCTCGAGGGGCACTCACATCACCCATTTCCAAGTGCTGAGCTGAACATTCAGCCTAAATGCTATTTACTAGAATAGCGAAGCCAACTCTGGATCAGTTTCTAATTTCACCGAGAGAGTGCAATTTTAAGTTGGAATCTCGCCAGAGATTCAACTGCAGTGCCTGACACGGAACCCCAGGAAGTCACTTAAATCAAAGAGCGGAAACGGCTTGGTTCAAATTTAGAAAGTGCACATTGTTTTCTATTAGAAGTGCCATTTCCTCGCCTGCTGACCTTTACATTCGGAATTCGGCTGGAGATCAATTTAAAGAAATAGCAGCAGAAGGCCAAGACCTCTGCCCAAAGGGACCCGGTTTGGAATCCAAGAGAATTAGACTCTGGGAAGAGTCCACCAGGGGGTGGGGGTGTAAGACAGAACAAGGTGCGGGTAGAAGGGAAAGATAATGGTCTTTCAAAAAAGGGACAGACCTCTGGATTAATGTGTTCTAGGATACAGTTTAGTAAATGCTTGTTCATGATGCTAATAATGAATGATGTTCTGTTTAGGAGAGCCAACCCTGCTCTTCTGCTGTTAGTTCATCTGGCCTCAAAGGGGATGCCTAAGAAGGTGGTGGATAGGTTTCCATCTCTAGTTAACCCCCTGCCCTTCTAGACTGGGTACACGGGATGTGCACATCCCAATAATTCAATCACCAATCACGGGAGAATGACACCTTGCCCTGAGTGACTCATCCATGTGTATCAATGTTTACAGACAGTGAGGAAGAATGGGGGGTGGGGATGGGGAAAAGCATTCAGGGCAACTCAATATTCTAGTTCCCTACTTAGAAACAATATTTGATCAGAAATGATTAAATTGTTGACAGAGGGCTTCCACAGATGCTTTCTAACCTGTCTAAAAGAAAGAGCTAGGTCTAGATGCAGAGTTCATGAAGGAGACAAAAACTGAACTTCCCCACAGGGTTCTTGGCTGTATACCCTTTATACCACAAATGCAGAAAAGTATCAAATCTTTTCTATAAGGTTCAATGTTCAGTCAACGGATATTTCCCAGTTGCAAAGGGCATGTACTATTATTGCCTTTGCTCCCGTGGCCCTACCTACTTGAAAGATGCTGGGATTTCTGTGCAGTTTTTCTCATGTTGGAGAAAGTCTGCCTAATGGCAACACCTGCCTATCAACACATTCCCTTCAGATGAAAGGAGAGTGAGCAACTTCTTCAAATAGGAGACTTCCCTGTGGCAGAGTTAGCCTTAAGTGTCTGGCAGGTCTGCCACCAAGAATGATCATTTCCCAAGGGTGCAAGGGGTGTGAGGATGTCAAATAAACATCTCTGGAAGAGTTCTTCCAAAATCAGGCCAACCACGCAGCAGGGCTTCAGGGAATGCTACCTTAGTCCACTTATTCTTTGCAGGGGTTCGGAAGCCTTGCTTCTAGAAAATGGGTTTAGGGTTGCCAGAAGCCGATTAGAAGCCCTGGGTCCACACCATGGGGACTTTGCCTGGAGGAAAAGGTGTGACTTGGCATAAGAATGGAAAATGTTGACACTGGCACAGGAGAAGACCCTGGTGCCAGCCGAGAACACCCCTAAGACAAAGACAGCCTGATTTCCCTTACTCCACAAGCTCAGGTCATGAAGACCCAGGGTCCTGCCAGCCAAACTGTCAGTGGCATTGTGAAGGCTTTGTTGCTCCATGTAGTTGGGCTTTTTGTCTCTTAGGACTAGGACCGGGACTTGCCATGCTGTTGGAAAAAGAGGAAAGAAGATTATCCACTCCTCTGTCCCCAGTTCTAATCCTGGGGTTTTTGAAAACAGCCACATTTTTTAGGGATAAAGCAAAAGGCATGGGCAATGCTTAGGGATTTTGGTAGGCCCTGGAATCACAAGGTAGATTAATGGAAGAATCCCACCAGGATGCCAGGGTGGGCCCAGCGCCTGCAGGCAATGGGGATGTTGGCATTCACAGACTCCCATCACCCTCCAGAGGTAGCTGTCAACATCTGGGCCTGCATTTATTTGGGGCCAGACACAGGGGTGGGCGCTTGGTCCACGATGACTCAGCTCTCTCGGGACATGCTGCATCCAAGATGGCTCCAGCAGGCATATTCCAAAATGCATCTTCCCTGTCACAACCCTGATGTCAAATTCGTTCTGGCCACCAGCTCAGCAAAAAAAAAAAAAAAAAAAAAACAGTGGCTGGCTCTGGGTTGCACTGCTCAAAAACTTCCCCAAGCCTCATTGCCTCACCTCCCCATTATCGGGGACTTGCACAGGAGGGGTGAATTCATTTGGCTGACAAAGAAAAATGGCTACTTCCCCAGCAGCCTGTTTGATAACCCCTCCGCATAGCTAAATGAAGTCTCAAAAAAAAAAAAAAAAGAAAAGAAAAGAAAAAGAAAAAAAAACCCCACCCTTCAGTTGGTTTAGAAGATCAATCTCTACTCACTGGGACACACCCATCCTCCAGTCTAAGCAATGCTGACGGAACTTAAGTGCAGTTTAATATGTACTCTCTGCTTCCCCTGCAAGGAAGGAAGAGATTTATAATATAAATAGCAGAGAGGAGGCTTTGCCTCATTTAGGCTCTTTGGAAGACTGATGGCCAATTTGGAAGACTGTGGACAGAGAAACAAAGCCAGCACTCCACTTAGCCAGAGAAGCACCTCTATCAAGTTTTAGGTGGCATTATTATGGATTAGCATGAGGAAACTTTTACCTCCACTCACAACTTCGCATGATAAATAATAATAATTGTGGAAGGAGCAGATATTTAGGACCCATATCTTCATGTCAGGCTCTCTGTGCTAAGCCCTCAGTGCTTTTCTCATGTAATCCTCACACCATCACCTTGGAGGAGAACACCCATTTTGCAAGGAAGAAATGAAGAATAATGCTGGTAGGTGATGAAGGCAAGATTTGAACCCACCCAGGAAGAGGATCCAGAGCCTGCGGAGTCAGCCCCACAGCCCTGACAGTCAAGGCTGGGTATTCACGTAAAGGCAGGAAAGCACCAATCACTTTCACAGCCATGAATTCTACTAGTCTCCCGCGCCCCCCTCCGTCTGCCACTAGCCCGCTGGGAGCCTCATCAGGCCATCCACGGGCTCTTAACCAAACCAGCAGGGAAATGAAGCCAGACAGGGGTTACATCAGACCGGCCCCTGGTTCAGGGAATTCTCACTGTTCCAAGTGGAGGCTGGGGGTTTGAAATCTGTCATTACAGGAAGGCTCAGAGCTCAAGTTACCTTCGCTTCCACTTCAGTTTTCTTTGCCATCTCTCCTGTCTGTCATCTCGCACACCGCTACTTTACTAAGTGCATGCATTTTTATTTTTTGTCTAGTCGGATGGGTCTCACCACAAAACAGTCCTCCAAAAGGGAAACCCTGGAGCGGGAGGGAATCCCTTCTCCTTCCTCATACACAGCTGACCTTAAATGAAGGGTCTCTAAGGCACATTCTCAGATGGGGCTTTCTGGTCCAGGTCTGTGAGGAAGGGAAGGAAGACGAGGAAGCCAGAAGAGTCCTAGAGACCTGGATGAGCAGGATATGGAAGAGCCCAGAGCACAAGGTCCTGTCTCTGCCACTTGGTGGTCTGTAGCGTTTGTACCTGTGGGAGGGGCTGAGCATCAGGATGTAGACCTTGCAAAGCAGGCTGGCTGAAAAGAATCAAGGGGCATGTTAAATGCCCACGCCACCCATCCACCCTTCCCCTTGACTTACCCTGGGAAGAGGAGTCGGGAAATACTTGGAAAATCTGACAGTTGTGCTTTGAAAACTAGAAGTCAGCAAATGACAGATTGGCAAGAGGCTCTGAATGAATGGGCCATTTCTGCACCAGGTCCTCCCAGCGAAGGCTATTTAACCCTTTCCTTTATCAGTTCAGAAGAAAAGATCTCTAGACTGCAGGAAGCCCGCCCATCACTACCACTTGGTTCTTTGTGACAACATCCCAGTTTAGTTAATTAAACTTCAACCAAATAATGACTTATTGCCTCAAAAACACTTTAAAAGGTGTGTCTGTGTGTGTGCTCTGCGGGGGTTGTGAGGAAAGCCAGGGACCTGCCTTCCCTATACTCCACTGAGGAAGACAGTCTCTGCATCTCTGCTGAGAACCGCCCTTGTGGGAAAACAAAGCATTTACGCAGTTGGATTTGTCCGACAATCTTGCTGCTCCCCATCCCTCTCTGGCACTAGCTCACCTCTGGCCATAAACCGTTAGAGATCACAAAAGAAAACAGCTGCTTTTCATCCCTTTGTCCCAGCACCAGCCAGCAGTTCCCAACCCTCGTCTCCTCCTCATCTGCAATCAGTCAGCTGAGCACCAAAGGCCCAGCACAGGAATGAGCAGGAGAGTCCTGCCGTACTCGGCTCTGGGCTGTCCTAGCTGGCTAGGTGGCTTCACATGTTGGTTTCATTGTATTAGCCCCATAATCGTTGTCTGCTCAGATTCCCTTAAAGAGCTAATAGAAAGCAAGAGCGAGAAAAGAATGGGGCTACATGAAGCCTGGTAGCCACCGGCAGTTTGGGAACTCCTGGTCCACATGGAAGTTAGGAGGGGACCAGAAACCTAGACCCCAAGGGAGGGCCCCCTTTCACGGACACTGAGATCGTTTATCTCACCACCCTCCACCATAGATTTCTAATTTAGACTCTAAGAATAGGCTCTAGCTTACTCCTGGGATGGGGCAGGAGATGACTACCCCCTTCTCCCATCCAGAAAAAGAAAGACTACCGGACAAGGGAAACCACTCTTCTGCAAATGGCCACCTGCCCCAGAAGGGCCCCTTCCCTCCTCCACTAGATCCCGCACATCTGTGCTCCTCCCCCAGTGCCCTTGCTTCCTCCACGGACTGTCCTTGGAAAGAACAATCATGATCGCAGCTGAATGGTGGAGCCTATTCAACCCAGACACATGTCCCGGATACATCCCCAGCCTTGTCAGCTGTCCGGATCTGCAGGGTGGGCCCAGACCCCTGAGAGCCAAGAATACCCCACCTCTTACATCATGCGACACCCCACACCTCCTGTGTAGGATGTGGCTCCCTTACAACCAGGTCCTCGTCCTGCCCTAAGTGCCCAGTAGTGATAAGGAGCACAGCCCAGCCCCCTGGGGAAGTTTCTTCTCCCCCACTCTGCAGATGGAGAGACTAAGGCCCAAGTACAGCAGGTTTCCTGGCCACTCATCTGCTCCGACCTGGCCACTAGCTGAGTCTGGAAGGACTCCTACACTTTTTTATATGTTGTTCTTCATCACCTCTTCCTCTGGCTCTTCTGGAAGAGCAAAAATAGACTCCATTGGGGGCCCTGCTTTCCATTCTATCAGGGAGATCCAGGTAGGCCATGAGATGGAAGCTTTCCACTCTTCCCCTCCCCCTGCCTTAAGAACACTTTCTTGTCTACGTCCCCATTTCAGCATTTTCAACTATATCCCTAAATTCAAAGGTTTGTGTAAGAATCTTCCACTCAGTTTTCCTCACAAAGGAACTTCTAAATCATGAGGGCTGAGATGACAGGCACCCTGGATTCAGAACCAAATTAAATGCCTTAACTCTCTAATAAGAGTACAACTTCTCTGATGAAAGAAAGGGGGCTCCTTTCCAAGTCTCCTTGATACATAGGAGTCCTACCCAGAAGGATGTCCTGAGGGAAGAAAAATGCTTGAGGGGGCCCCACAATGGGGAGTAGATGTCACACCAAGGGCCTTAGCATCAGAATTGGAAGAGAAGTCCCGGGGGGCGCCTGGGTGGCTTAGTCAGTTAAGCGTCGACTTTCGCTTGGGTCATGATCTCGCGGTTCGTGGGTTCGAGCCCCGCATCGGGCTCTGTGCTGACTGCCGGCTCAGAGCCTGGAGCCTGTTTTCAGTCTGTGATTCCCTCTCTCCTGACCCTCCCCTGTTCACGCTGTCTCTCTCTCTCTCTCTCTCCTAGAAATAAATAAAACATTAAAAAAAAAAATTAAAAAAAAAAAAAAGAATTGGAAGAGAAGTCCCTATGTGTTCCCCTAAAGTATTAAACTGCAGAGCAAAACATCTCAGGGGCCACTTCTGGAGGTGTTAATGGGTGTTTCTTCCTCCCTTTATGTTTAAATCACTCACTTTTAAATTTTGCTTTGAAAGGCTGCCTTCATTTGTTATTCAAGTCAGCCAAACCTCTGGGCAGAGGCTAGGTCAGGTTTACCAGAGTGGGGGATGGGGGATGGGTAGATAAATAATACCAACTGCACAGAGGGTACAATTCCAAAGAGCCCCATCTCTCCATCTATTCTGGAAGGATTAAAACAAAAAGGACATCTGTGAGCTCCAAATGATCACTGGCCCCCAGTTTCTGTCCCGCTTTAGCTAGGGATCATTCTGTCTCTGTTCTGTCTCCTCCCACCAAGCCCAACCAAAGCTTTAAGGAAGTGTTGCCATTTCAGAATGATGGTAATCTGGAAAAGGTCCTGGGAATGAGGAGGATTTCCACTTCACAAAAAGGGGTAGGACTCCTGGGTTCAGAATCTAAAAAAGAAAAAATAACTAAGAGATGCCTTATGAAAGTCTTCCTCACCTTAACTGACAAGCATTTGTCCATCAAGGAGATTTCAGAAATCTGCCATCAAAATGCCCCCTACCAGGTACTGGGCAAATGCATCTCAGTTGGTCAGTGTGTGTGTGCATTGCTCACATTAATGGGTTTGCCTGAAGCTGCTGGCAAGGGAGGTTGCTCCTAAGGGCTGGCAAAGAGAGGAAACTCAGCTGCACACCAGACAGGTCTACGTCTTTCCCACCCTTCTGCTGAAACTGAGAGCCCTCCCTTTCCTAGTCCACCCCACACCCACATACTTCAGTAAAGACTGAAAATTCCAGATGTTTATGATCCATTCCTCTGAAGATCCAGAGAGCTCTAAACATTGTGAAATCACCAGTGCAATATTGGTTAGGGCCTCAAGCCAGACTGAGCTTATTACGAGATTGATAAGTCCGTATTTCCTAAATGCACTAGGCCTTCACCTTCCAGCTTTGCATCCCCCAGAGGCTCATCAGAAAGACTGGAGCGCCTTGGTCAGCTCCCGCACCTCTCCAAACTGGAGAGAATCACGCCACTGATTTGGAGGCATTCGGAAAGTGGGGGTTCCCACTGGATGTGGGCACCCCACTGAACCTACACTTTTCCTTTCACCACTCACCATGTTTGGGGGGGGGAAGAGTCCTTGAAATCTCAGTGTGCCACAGCGCAGCCTCCTGCCCTCACCCAGCCTTGGCAATATGGATGCCCATCCATAGCTGCTAAATGAGGCAGCCATCAGCTCTCCTCTCTGCTCACCATCCGGCCCCTCTAGTCCAGTTTGCTTCAACGACCATTGCTCAGCCCTCAAGCCCATCGCTCAGCCCTCAAGCCATGCAACCATTTTCGCCTCTCTTGCCTTCTTTGCCCGCAACCCCCAGCCCCAATCAAAGAGAATTGAGAAATCGTCTTCTTGCACAAGAGTAGCTACTGTCTAAATGCTTTTTGATCGTCTGCATGGAGGGGGAACTGGGCACAGCTCAGGCCCCAGTGATGAAGCCAAGCTCCAGCAACCCTGACTGCCCAAACCCGCCTTTGCCCGCCCCCCGCCCCCCTTCTTTGCCCCTGTGGCCTTAGAGATTCAGAATTTTCAGAACGTACCGTCTCTATCTTTCTCTCTTCTCGGTGATGTCAAGCCTGGTACCACCAAGAAGGAAGGAGGGAAAGCGGGAGCCTTATCTCTCCTACGCACGCAACCTCTTCCTCCAGCTCCCACACGCCCGGCGTTATGTAAACGCACCTTCAGCCCCCACCACAGCCCCAGCGCGGCCCAGCCCCGGGGCCTGGCACAGCTCGGTGCCCCGAGAAGGGAGGCACGAGGAGGCCGAGGAGCCTCTGGCCCTGCAGAGGCCGAGGAAGGGAAAGGCAACTGCAAGGCAGTTGCACAGCATAAAATGCAGCAGGAGAGCAAAGGTCAGACGGCGAGGAACCGCCTCGCCAAAGAGAGGGATCAGAAATGCCCAGTCCCGGGCCAACCCCATGCTGACCATCGAGGGGGAGGCAGAAGGTAGAAGACCCAGTCTGTCACGGCTCCGAAGGGAAAAGGGAAACCTACGTCGAGCATAGGCCGCTGCAGCGGGCTGGGGAGATCTGGGCAGAGCTGGCACCGTGGGCACGGAGCCCGGGGTGGGCCAGCCGCCCGGGGCAAGAGCGCCCGCCCGACCCAAGAGGTGGCTCCTGACCGAGCCCAGAGCCTCCCGTTCCAGCGCTCGAGGCGGGTGGTGGCATGAGGGGGAAAGAAACCAGGCCAGAGGCAAACTCTCGGGACACGCACGGGGCTTCCTGAGTCGTAGAGTGGAGAAGCCGGGCTTGGCATAATCCCGGGGTCGGAAACTCCGGTGCCAGGCTGTGAACACCCCCGGCGCCTTGCCGGTCCAGCCGAGGGCGTCAGGGAGCTGCGGAACACCGCAGTAGCTCAAGGAGGCGCAGGGAGAGGAAAGGAACACTGAGGCGCGCCTAGAAATAGCGCACCATTTGCCCCAGCCGGAGAGGGAGTCGCGTCGCGGCTCAGAGGGGGACAGTTTCGGATCCCGAAACGGGCCAGGGACTTACTTTGAGGAGCCGCAGAGCCATAGGCATTGCTCCACGCCTGTGTAAATCTCCGAACCAGGGCGGGTCAGACGCTGCTGTCCTCGCAGACGTCGGCGGGAGAAACCGATAGGGCTCCTTGCGCTCCGCAGCGCCAGCTCCGCGCTGTCAGCTCCTCTCGCTGCCTCCGCGGCGGTGTTGCAACCACTGCCTGGGAAAATGGCTTTTTTATGAATGGGAGGGAAGGGAGCTCCACTGCGCACGCGCCCCGTTCGCGATTCTATGAATGGGTGGGCACAAGAGACCCCGCGCGCGCATGCGCCGCGCTCCTTTTTTTATGAATGGGGGGCCGGAAAAGGACTTAACCCCTGATTGCTGGGGCTGACTCTAGCTCCTCCTGAGGCCGTCGTTCTTTTACAAAAAGGGGTGGAGGTTGTTGTTGCCTTTTTTTTTTTTTTTAAATGAATGGAGGGCGGCGGCGACTGCTGCAGCTGCCTCAGCTGCGCGGGCTGTACCCCCTCCCAGCCTGCGAGAGGAGGTAAAGGCCACCTTCACGCCACTGCGGGCCTAGGCAGGAACCGTCAGTGTCGTTGGGGGGTGGGGGCACTGCGGCCTCTGAGTCCAGGGCGGAGAGCCGGGTGGGGAGAACACACCTAGATCTAGGGATCTCGAACCGCCTCAGGCAGTCGCGGGGAGGTGGGGGATGGCCGGAGATGGGAAGACCCCTGCTGGGGCCTTATCTTTCTCTAGCCTAGGGGCGTCGGGCGGGGGGAGGGGTTTTGAAGCTGCGCTTACCAAATGTTAAGAAAATGTCAGATGTCCGTAGCACATAGCACAGAAAGGCATAGTGAGATCTGCTTGAGTGAATCTGGTTCCATTACTAAGACAATCTCCCTTGAGTGAGTGCAGATCCCACCCCCCATTTCTTGGGTGTGGACAGCGACAGGACCGAGACCTCTTCCTTCTCCAGCACCCTCCCCGGCCGACGCTGGCTATTCAACTAGGGAAGACCAGGCTCTCGCCTCGCATTGCACCCCCCCCCATGCCCCAGTGTATAGTCTGCAGTGCCCTGGCGCCCGCCCGCCCTCGGCTGCCCCCACTAGCTGCTCCCTTTTCCACCCCCGTGCCTTTCCCAACCCTAAGGAGCCTCTGCATAGAAGGCCATGGCCCCCTCCTGCAGTAGGAGCCTTTCTTTCCCCAATCATCCCCATCAGCGCCCCTTCGGGGAAGCGGGAGCTGCTGAGACTTGGCCAGGTGGATGGGTGGAGTCGGCAGCATCGCAGAGCTGAGGATGCTGCCGGAGTGGCCATGGGATTAAATAACAACAGGGTTCTTGAGCCCCAGAGGAAATGGAAATGGCCGGGGATCCTTTCTTTGCAGTTAACGATGCTGATGGGGTTATCCCATTAGTCCAGGCCATTGAAAAGAAAAGCCCCCGCCATTAGGCCTGACTCCGGGAAGGCGAGGATCCCTTACAACAGCTTCAGACCCCGCTCCGCCCAGGAACCGAGGAGGCTGTAGCCTAGGGGTGGGGGCTGGGGGAGTCCAGCGTAGGGGGTGGCTTTGATACGGGGATACAGCTGGGCCAGGGCCTGAATCTCCATTAGTTTCTCTTGCTAGTGTTCTGGCTTCACCGCCAGAGGTTGTGAGCTGTCCTGTCTTTTTCTTTCTACGCCACCAAAGGACTGCGCTTGGCTGTTGTCAAAGGAGCCAATGAAAGGCTCTCATTCTAGGCCAGAAATCTGGCCTGGGGCTGGGGCTGGGGCTGGGGCTCAGGAGATGGCCTGTGGAGGGACATTTTGCAAACCCAGACCAGAACCCAAGGTCACAGAGTCTCAGTGTAAAATGCCTTCTCACTCCTCGGATGTAGCTCTGCAGTGTGATTTACTTACGCTGCTCCTGGGAGCAGAGCTCCCCCTTACCTAGGGGACCTCAGTCTTTGAAGGCCAAGATCTTATTTAAAGTAACAAGAAAAACTCTTTAAGAGGGCAGTAGACTATATATTACAGTTGTTTAGGTTTTCCCTTTGCAGGTACAGAAGTTCAGTATCATTATTCCCATTTGTCAGATGTAGGGATTGAGGTCAAACGCCCCATACCTGCTCAATGGAAGATCTAGTAGATGTAGTGCTGATTTTCCAGATCTTTGCAACTTAGCTCTCTCTACTTTGCTACCAACGCTTCTCAGCATTGCAAACATAAAAACCTGGTTTTTTGTTGAGTCATTTAAGCACACTAAACAAGGAAAGTTGGAGAAGTAATTTTGCAGCCAGTGCTCTCTCTGGGATTTGAACAATTAAAAGGATGGCGGTAAATACATCCTTTCTAAACCATCAAAGGAAAGCAAGATGGTGGTAGTACTTTTTATTAGCTGTCCTCTTTCCTTTATTTAGAGGATTTAGCCAAGAGACAGACGGGGTTCCATTCTGGATCTTTTTCCAATTTTCCTGAAGCATGAGGTAGAGAAAGCACAGCCTTGGTGGGATGGTGAGAAGATGGAGGAACCCCCAGCCCTAGCCTGGGAAGAGCCTCTGATGTGTAAGGAGAGTGTGATTCCAGAGTGCCTGGGAGGTAAGTTGAGGATTATATTCTGCTCCTACTTGGAACGTAAAGAGAAGTTTGGGGCAAGTATTCTGAGAAGTGCGTGTATGTTTGTATGTGTGCATTCATTCAGTCATTCATTCACTCACATACGATTCTGTGTAGGGGTCCATCCTGGCTCGGAGGACTCAGTGGTGAGAGACAGTGTTCCCTGTGCTTGTGAAGCTGGCAGTCTTTTGAGGAGACAGACAGACACTGCAATTTGAGGCTGTGATAAGTGCCAGGAGGGGTCTGAGTTGAGACCTGAAATCTGAGAAGGGGTGAGCCTGAGGGAGGTTGAGGAGAAAGGTCTGGCTGAGGGAGCCTCGTTGGAAGCCCCAGTGTGGGAAAGGGCCTGACGTGGAAGTTGTGACGGTAGGCCTCTGCGGCCATAGCTTGGCAAGTAAGATGGAAGTTGGCCTGGTGAGCAGTTCAGATATTATCCTCTTAAGGGTTTTAAGCAGAGTCGTGACACATTCTGTTTTGTGTTCTAAACCTCTGTAGCAGCCCAGAGGCCGGTGGCTGGGGGTGAGGGGATGGAGTGAAAGGTAACAGGGAAATGCAAAATGATTGCTCCTCTGACAGACTGAAGGTGCCATATTTGTTCTTTTGGGTTGGGTGGACAGTAAGCCTGTGCTTTTTTTTTTTTCCTTCCTCTTCTGCTTCATTTGATTTTGTTTATTCCAGAGCTGCTGTCTCCTGCCCAGGTATAACTTTTCTGCTAGAGGCAAATCCTAACGGCCCTGCATTCCTGTCTGTGCTAATTATAGCCCTATCACCCCAACCTCAACGGTAAACATCTTCACCCCTACCAGATCGGGGCCAGGGAGTGGGTTTGCTTCTGCGTTTGGCCCTCTGATTAAGCCCCTCGCCTTGCCAGGACCTGGAGCAGAGTCAGTGGGAGTTAGGGAGAGGCAGGAATTCCAATTTGCTGACAGACGTTTAGGGAACACTTACGGTGCTAAGGGCACTTACCTGTGCCCGCCATGTTTTTTTCTATGTACTGTTCCTTTAAAAAGCTGTATGCTGGGTCTTATCCTTCCTCTTTTGTCAGATAAGAAGTCAGAGGCTATGTCTTAATTATTTATTAATTCCACCAAAAATTGTTATGTACTTCCTGTGAGTCAGGCACAGTGCCAGGTGTGGGGTTACAATGAGAAAAAAGATAGATATAATTTTTGCCTTTATACAACTTGCAGTCAGGGGTGAGGGGGCTGGGGGTAGGGTGTGCTTCTCCCCTGTTACCTTCATCAGCACCCTCATTCATTTCTATATTCCCTTGCCATTTCTCAACCTTAAGTGAAGTACAAACAGATTACCTGCCACCCCTCCCCCCTCCATCAGGTAGGGGAGATAAGACATTAAGCATATAATTGATCAAAGACTGATTTAATTACAGTGCTGTGACAGGGAGTGCAGAGAGCAAAGTAGGGGACACCGTGTGGAGGCCCTGGGGAAGCTTCCCTGCAGTTCACATCTGCAGCTTCAGCCAAGCGGGGCCAGAGGCAGAGCTCAGAAGCAGAAAGGGATCTGAGTGCTAGAGGGTGTGTCAGACCGGAGTTAGAGCTCTGTTCCGGCCCTGGCTCCTAGGCTTTCTGGCTCAGTGTGTTCATTTGTTTCAGTTTTGAAGGCAAGAGACCTTGAAAGACAGATGTACAGACACAGACCACGGATTGCTGAAGTTCAGTCCTACCCTTACAAGCTCCATAGCCTTGGACAGGGTCTATAAGCTTTATACACCTCAGTTTCCTCCTCTGCAGTATGAAAACTATTAGTAGTACTTACCACAAAGGGTTTAGTGGAATCTGAATGGAAAAAAAATGTAGTGCTTAGAACAGCATCTGGCAAATTGTAAGTGCCAAACATACATTTAGATGATTCTTCAACATACCAGGCCATGTTGATGCAAGGAATGAGTTAGAATTTTAAGAGGAGCTCATTTAGGTGGGCACATCAAAACTTCAGAAAGAGAAAAATAACTAAACTGTAAACAAGGTTTTCATTGCTAATAAATAGTTCAAACAGTAATCCTGTGGCTGTAATCGCTGCTTTAGCACAATTTTTGCAGGACAAAAGTTACAATAGATTCAGCTGTGTGGCTGGGTATTTTAAAATAGTTCACCAAAGGGGCACCTGGGTGGCTCAGTCGGCTAAGCGTCCAACTTCGGCTTAGGTCATGATCTCACGGTTTGTGGGTTCGAGCCCCATGTTGGGCTCTGTGGTGACAGCCAGCTCAGAGCCTGGAGCCTGTTTCAGATGTTGTGTCTCCCTCTCTCTCTGACCCTCCCCTGCTCACACTGTTTCTCTCTCTCTCTCTCTCTCTCAGAAATAAATAAAATATTAAAAAAAAATAGTTCACCAAAGAGTTGATTTTAACCCTGGCCAACATAGATGCTTAAATTCCGGTCATAGCACATGTGTTACGAATATAATGCTGAATGTGTGCTGAGTAATGATTCTGTTGTATCAGTAGGGGGAAGAGGTACTAAGCACTTGGTGACTTTGTATAATTCATAATCTCTTCAACCCTTTATTGTATAAAGGGCAGAGTCCTAGCATCTGCTTCAAACAGTTGTCGTGAGCAGTAAGGGAAGGGACGTGATGTTT